GGTGGGGAGAGAGATGGAGACTGTGTGGTGGGTGGAGGTGAGAGATGGAGAGACTGTGGTGGTGGGAGGTGAGAGACAGAGAGACTGTGTGGTGGGTGGAAGGTGAGAGATGGAGAGACTGTGTGGTGGTGGAGGTAGCTGGGAGAGACTGTGGTGGTGGTGAGAGATAGAGAGACGTGGTGGAAGTGAGAGATGGAGAGACTGTGTGGGGTGGTGGAGGTGAGAGATGGAGAGACTGTGTGGTGGTGGAGGAGGAGAGCTGGAGAGAGACTGTGTGGTGGTGGAGGTGAGAGATGGAGAGACTGTGGTGGTGGTGGAGGTGGAGAGATGGAGAGACTGTGGTGGTGGGAGGTGAGAAGAGAGACTTGTGGTGTGGAGAGCTGGAGAGACTGTGTGGTGGTGGGAGGTGAGAGAGATAGAGAGACTGTGTGGTGGTGGAGGAGAGATGGAGAGACCGTGGTGGTGGAGGTGAGAGATGGAGAGACTGTGTGGTGGTGGAGGTGAGAGACAGAGAGACTGTGGTGGTGGAGGGGGGAGAGATGGAGAGACTGTGTGGTGGTGGGAGGGAGAGATGGAGAGACTGTGGTGGTGGAGGTGAGAGATAGAGAGACTGTGTGGTGGTGGAGGTGAGAGATGGGAGAGACTGTGTGGTGGTGGAGGTGAGAGATAGGAGAGACTGTGTGGTGGGTGGGAGGTGAGAGATGGGAGACTGTGTGGTGGGAGGTGAGAGATAGAGAGACTGTGTGAGGGAGGGGGTGAGAGATGGAGAGACTGGGTGGTGGTGGAGGTGAGAGATGGAGAGACTGTGGTGGGTGGAGGTGAGAGACAGAGAGACTGTGTGGTGGTGGGAGGTGAGATGGAGAGACTGTGGTGGAGGGAGAGATGGAGAGACTGTGTGGTGGTGGAGGTGAGAGATGGAGACTGTGGTGGTGGAGGTGAGAGATAGAGAGAGACTGTGTGGTGGTGGAGGTGAGAGACAGGAGACTGTGTGTGGTGGTGGGAGTGAGAGATAGAGAGACTGGGTGGTGGAGTGAGAGATGGGAGAGACTGTGTGGTGGTGGGGGTGGAGAGATGGAGAGACTGTGTGGGTGGAGGAGGTGAGAGATGGAGAGACTGTGTGGTGGTGGAGGTGAGAGATGGAGAGACTGTGTGGTGGTGAAGTGAGAGATAGAGAGACTGTGGTGGTGGGAAGGGAGAGATGGAGAGACTGTGGTGGTGGGAGGAGAGATGGAGAGACTGTGGTGGTGGAGGTGAGAGATGGAGAGACTGTGTGGTGGTGGGAGGTGAGAGATGAGAGACTGTGTGGTGGTGGGAGGTGAGAGAGAGGAGAGACTGGTGTGGTGGTGGAGGTGAGGAGTGAGAGACTGTGGTGGTGGGAGGTGAGAGTTAGAGAGACTGTGTGGTGGAGGTGAGAGACAGGAGAGACTGTGTGGTGGTGGAGGTAGAGATAGAGAGACTGTGGTGGTGGGAGGTGAGAGAGATGGAGAGACTGTGGTGGTGGAGGTGAGAGATGGAGAGACGTGGTGGTGGGATGAGAGATAGAGAGACGTGGTGGTGGAAGTGAGAGAGGAGACGGTGGAGGTGAGAGTGGAGAGACTGTGTGGTGGTGAAATGAGAGATAGAGAGACTGTGGTGGTGGAGGTGAGAGATGGAGAGACTGTGGTGGTGGGAGGTGAGAGTGGAGAGACTTGTGGTGGTGGAGGTGAGAGATGGAGAGACTGTGGTGGTGGGAGGTGAGAGATGAGAGACTGTGGTGGTGGGAGGTGGGAGAGATAGAGAGACTGTGTGTGGTGAAGGGGGAGAGTAGAGAGACTGTGTGGGTGGTGGGAGGGGAGAGAGAGAGACTGTGTGGTGGGTGGAGGTGAGAGATAGAGAGAGACTGTGGTGGTGGAGGTGAGAGATGGAGAGACTGGGTGGAGGTGGAGAGATGGAGAGAGACGTGGTGGTGAGGAGAGATAGAGAGACTGTGGTGGTGGAGGTGAGAGATGGAGAGACTGTGTGGTGGTGGAGGTGAGAGATGGAGAGACTGTGTGGTGGTGGGAGGAGAGACAGAGAGACTGTGTGTGGGTGGGAGGTGAGAGATGGAGAGACTGTGGTGGAGGTGAGAGATGGAGAGACTGTGGTGGTGGAGGTGAGAGATGGAGAGACTGTGTGGTGGTGGAGGTGAAAAGATAGAGAGACTGGTGAGGTGGAGGTGAGAGGGAGACTGGGTGGGGTGGAGGTGAGAGATAGAGACTGTGTGGTGGTGGAGGTGAGAGATAGAGACTGTGGTGTGGAGGTGGAGATGGAGAGACTGTGTGGTGGTGGAGGTGAGAGATGGAGAGACTGGTTGGGTGGTGGGAGGTGAGAGATGGAGAGACTGTGTGGTGGTGGGAGGGAGAGACGGAGAGACTGTGGGTGGTGGGAGGTGAGAGAGGGGAGACTGTGTGGTGGTGGAGGTGAGAGATAGAGAGACTGTGGTGGGGAGGAGAGATGGAGAGACTGTGGTGGTGGAGGAGAGATGGAGAGACTGTGTGGTGGTGGGAGGTGAGAGAGATGGAGAGACTGTGGTGGTGGAGGTGAGAGATGAGAGACTGTGTGGTGGGGAGGTGAGAGATGGAGAGACTGTGTGGTGGTGGAGGTGAGAGATGGAGAGACTGTGGTGATGGAGGTGGAGAGATGGAGAGAGACTGTGGTGGTGGAGGGAGAGATGGAGACTGTGGTGGAGGTGAGAGATAGAGAGACTGTGTGGTGGTGGGAGGTGAGAGATGGAGACTGTGGTGGTGGGAGGTGGGAGAGAGAGGACTGTGGTGGGAGGTGAGATGGGAGACTGTGGTGGAGGTGAGAGACAGAGAGACTGTGGTGGGGAGGTGAGAGATGGAGAGACTGTGGTGGGGGAGGTGAGAGATGGAGAGACTGTGTGGTGGTGGGAGGTGAGAGAGACAGAGAGACTGTGTGGTGGTGGAGGTGAGAGATGGAGAGACTGTGTGGTGGTGGGAGGTGAGAGAGAGAGACTGTGGTGGTGGTGAGGAGAGATAGAGAGACTGTGGTGGTGGAGGTGAGAGACAGAGAGACTGTGGTGGTGGGAGGGGGAGATGGAGAGACTGTGGTGGAGGTGAGAGCTGGAGAGACTGTGTGGGGTGAGGGGAGAGATAGGAGAGACTGGGTGGTGGGAGGTGGAGAGAGACGTGGTGGTGGAGGTGAGAGATAGAGAGACTGTGTGGTGGTGGAGGAGAGATGGAGAGACTGTGTGGTGGGAGGTGGAGAGACAGAGAGACTGTGTGGTGGTGGAGGAGAGATGGAGAGACTGTGTGTGGTGGAGGAGGAGAGAGGAGAGACTGTGTGGTGGTGGAGGTGAGAGACAGAGAGACGGTGGTGGAGATGAGAGATGGAGAGACTGTGTGGTGGTGGAGGTGAGAGACGGAGAGACTGTGTGGTGGTGGGAGGAGAGATGGAGAGACTGTGTGGTGATGGAGGTGAGAGATAGAGAGTCTGTGGTGGGTGGAGGTGAGAGAGATGGAGAGACTGTGTGGTGGTGGAGGTGAGAGATGGAGACTGTGTGGTGGTGGAGGTGAGAGATGGAGAGACTGTGTGTGGTGGAGGAGAGATAGAGAGACTGTGTGGTGGTGGAGGAGAGATAGAGAGACTGTGTGGTGGTGGAGGTGAGAGATGGAGAGACTGTGGTGGTGGAGGAGAAAGAGAGACTGTGTGGTGGTGGGAGGTGAGGGGAGTGGGAGACTGTGGTGGTGGAGGTGAGAGTTGGAGAGACTGTGGTGGTGGAGGTGAGAGACGGAGAGACTGTGTGGTGGTGGTGGAGGAGACAGAGAGACTGTGGTGGTGGGAGGTGAGAGATGGAGAGACTGTGGGTGGTGTGGAGGTGAGAGATAGGAGAGACTGTTGGTGGTGGAGGGAGAGATGGAGAGAGACTGTGTGGTGGTGGGAGGAGAGATGAGACTGTGTGGGGGGGTGGAGGAGAGATGGAGAGACTGTGGTGGTGGGAGGTGGAGATGGAGAGACTGTGTGGTGGTGGAGGTGAGAGTTGGAGAGACTGTGTGGTGGTGGGAGGTGAGAGAGAGAGAGACGTGGTGGTGGGAGGTGAGAGATGGAGAGACTGTGGTGGTGGGAGGAGAGATGGAGAGACGTGGTGGTGGAGGTGAGAGATAGAGAGACTGGTGGTGGTGGAGGTGAGAGACGGAGAGACTGTGTGGTGGTGGAGGTGAGAGATGGAGAGACTGGGGGGGTGGGGGAGAGATGGAGAGACTGTGTGGTGGTGGAGGTGGGAGAGACAGAGAGACTGTGTGGTGGTGGGAGGTGAGAGATGAGACTGTGTGGAGGGGGAGGTGGATGGAGAGACTGTGGTGGTGGGAGGTGAGAGGAGAGACTGTGGTGGTGGGAGGAGGAGAGACTGTGGTGGTGAAGGTGGGAGAGATGGAGAGACTGTGTGGTGGTGGGAGGTGAGAGATGGAGAGACGTGGTGGTGGAGGTGAGATGGAGAACTGTGTGGTGAGGTGAAAGATAGAGAGACTGTGGTGGGAGGTGAGAGATGAAGAGACTGTGGTGGTGGAGGTGAGAGATAGAGAGACTGTGTGGGTGGTTGGAGGTGAGAGATAGAGAGACTGTTTGGTGGTGGAGGTGAGAGAGAGAGACTGTGTGGTGGTGGAGGTGGGAGATAGAGACTGTGGTGGGAGGGGTGAGAGTTAGAGAGACTGTGTGGGTGGTGGAGGTGAGAGATGGAGAGACTGTGTGGTGGTGGAGGTGAGAGATAGAGAGACTGTGGTGGTGGAGGTGAGAGATGGAGAGACTGTGTGGTGGTGGAGGTGAGAGATAGAGAGACTGTGGTGGTGGGAGGTGAGAGATGGAGAGACTGTGGTGGTGGTGGAGGAGAGACGGAGAGACTGTGAAACTGAAAGACCGTGAGTGTCTTGTAGTTAGGTGTAAGTGTAGGAGGTTGTGTTAGATTAAATAAGACGAAGTTAAGTTAAGTTCGGTTAAGTTAGATTAAGTTGAGTTAAGTTACTCACCATAACAAGCAGCCAGAAGAGTCGTCGTATCAGAAGACTCAAGTGTTTGTCTGTTGGCTGTCCCGTCAGTAGTCTGGGGAGAAGGAAGAGGTTGTCTTATTATCATCCAGTTGGACAAGAGAATTTATATATATACATATTATAAATATACATATATTATTGTATATTATTATTATTACATATTATTATTATTATTATTATTATTTTTATATATATATATATATATATATTATACATATTATACATATTATTATATATATTATTATTATTATTATTATTATTATTATTTATTACTTTTATTATTGTGCATGCACAGGTGTGAATATGAGAGAAAGAGAAAACATCTAAAATTAAAACAGGAGAGAGAGAGAGAGAGAAAGAGAGAGAGAGAGAGAGAGAGAGAGTCACCTGGATACATAGTTTTAGTAAGTGAGGTCTCCCACGCGCACACGAGCAAGGCGGTGATGGCGTGTTTTTACAGAGCGTCCCAAATTTCAGACAATCCCTGCACGTACCACACTACCCTATCCTTCACGATCCTGGAGTTTTTCTGGTGGTCTGCTGGATCCGCCACAATGCCTCCTCCTCCTCTCAAGATAAAGCCCCCTGCAGTCCTCCTCCTGCTCTGTCGTCCTCAGCCCCTGCATCACTGGTCGTATCACCGACGCTTTGAGGCCCTGAGAGAGAAAACACAAGAAGGACAAAAATAAAATGTAGAAAGAGAGAGGGCAGAGAAGGAGAAGAAAAAGACGGACACAGACAGACAGACACACAGACAGACAGACAGACAATACTCATCTCATTCATCGGTGATTGGATCTTCTTGCCACCTGACTTCTTCATTTTGCTAAGAAATATGTCGACACCTATGGAGATCTTGAGTAAAGACGAAAGCTAAAGTTCCATTGTTTCCTAAATCACTGTAGGTGCGCGTGATCTAGGTATATGCTGATAACCACAAATTTGTGATCAGGTGAGAAGGCCAGGTACTTGACCATCTGACCTGACCACCAACCGTTGTGTGCTATTTAAAGATTAGTAGGGTCATTACCTAATACCTGACCATTGTGACCTGGTCTACCCTCCTCTGTATATATACACCTTGATTTGTATTACTCTCTCTAGTCTGTACTCACCCTGAAGATGTGAATTACACGAAGCCTTGGGAACTTCGTGTTTTCTTATTTCCTTGTGGTTATCAGCATATATATATATATATATATATATATATATATATATATATATATATATATATATATATATATATATATATATATATATATATATATATACACTGGAGGCATATTTCTTAGCAAATCAGATTGTAAAGCAAAATGGTAAAGGCAAGTGGTAAAGAAGAGCTAAGTGGTAAGGTCAAGTACAGTAGTAAAACCAAATGGTTGATCTAAGTTGCAAATTAAGTGATAGAGCCAAGTGATTGAGTCAAGTGCAAGAGTCAAGTGGTAGAATTAAGTGACAGAGCCAATTGATTGAGTCAAGTGGTAGAGCCAAGTGATAGTCAAGGGTGTTAAAGACAAGTGGTAGATCTTAATGGTAGAATGTGGTAAATCTAAGTGATAGGATCAAATGGTAAGACCAAGTGGTGGGTCAAGTGATAAAGCCAAGTAGTAGAATCAAGTTGTAAAACCAAGTTATAGCACAGAGATAAGTGGTGGAGTCCTGAGGTAGAGCTAAGTGGAAGAGTCAAGTGATAGATTCATAGTAAGAAAAGGAAAGTCATAATTACACAAAATATCAAAACAGGGAAGGGAAGCGGCTAGGGAAGGGTAAGGGATGAGGGATGAGGGTGAGAGATGAGGGGTGATGGTGAAGGGTGAGGGGTGAGGGGTGAGGGGTGAGAGATGAGGGGTGATGGTGAAGGGTGAGGTGGAGGGATGAGGTGAGAGATGAGGGTGATGGTGAAGGTGAGAAGGGATGAGGGTGAGAGATGAGGGGTGATGGTAAAGGGTGAGGTGGAGGGATGAGGGTGAGAGTGAAGGGTGATGGTGAAGGGGTGAGGGTGAGGTGGAGGGTGAGGGTGGGGATGAGAGATGAGGGGATGGTGAAGGGTGAGGTGAAGGATGAGGGTGAGGGGTGATGGTGAAGGGTTGAGGGTGATGGTGAAGGGTGAGGGGTGAGGGTGGAGGGATGAGGGGAGAGATGTGGGGTGATAGTTCAAGGGTGAGGTGGAGGGATGGAGGTGAGGTGAGAGAAGGGGGGGGAGGTGAGAGATAAGGGGTAATGGGTGAGGATGAGAGGTGAGGGGGAGGGATGAGGGGTGATGGGTGAGGGTGAGAGGTCAGGGTAATGGTTGAGGTAAGAAGAAGTGAGGGAGGTGGGAGAGGAGTAGAGAGGGAGGAAGGTAGGAGTGAGAGAGGTAAAGGGTGGGGGGAAAAGAGTGAGAGAGGTGAGGGGTGTGGTAAGGAGTGAGGGTGAGGTGAGGAGTAAGGGAGGTGAGGGGAGGTGTCACAGGAGGGGAAGGAAGAGGGAAATGTTATCACTGACCAAGAACAAGAATAAATAGAACTACGAATATAATAATAAAGGAGAGAATAATTGCGGGATAAAGCATATTATAACAGGATAATATAACACATAATATAACAGGATAATATAACACATAATATAACAGGATAATATAACGCATAAGATTGCAGGATATTATAACTCATAAGATAGCAGGATAACATAACACATAAGATATCAGTATAACATAACACATAAAAAGCAGGATAATATAACTCATAAGATAGCAGGATAATACAACACATCAGATAGCAAGATAATATAACACATAATATAGCAGGATAATATAACACATAAGATAGCAGGATAATATAACAAGTAAGATAGCAGCACAATATAATGCATTAGATAGTAGGATAATATAACACATAAGATAGTAGGATAATACAACTCATAAGATAGCAGGATAATATAATGCGTGAGATAGCAGGATAATATAATGCGTGAGATAGCAGGATAATATAACACATAAAAAACAGGATAATATAACACATAAAAAAACAGGATAATATAGCACATAGAATAGCAGGATAATGTAACTCATAACATGGCAGGATACATTAAAATGTTGTATTAATAATTCAATAAAGGGTGAAATAGGAACCGAGTCTTATTGGGTAGAAATCACGGAAGGAAGAGAAAAACTAATTATGGGAGTGATTTACAGGCCCCCAGGTTTTGGGAAAGAAGCAGCTCAGCCTATGGCAGGAAATGAGTAGGGGAAGAAAATATAACAACCTGTGTGACATGGGGGATGCAATCTCAGAAATATTGGACAGGACAACATTGTAGATAATCACGAATCTGAACAATTTCCTAGATGCAGACAGACAAATTTTTTAAACAACTAATTACAGAAATCACTAGAGATGACAATATATTTGACCTAGTATTAACAACAAAGAAAATATTATCAGAGATAGCATTACAGTAGGGGAAGAACTAGGTAAACAGTGATCACAGAGAAATCAGGTTCACCTCAAATTAAACAAAAACAATGCTAATTTGGTCAGAGTCCTAAACTTTCGGTTGGCGGAGATTATCAGGTTAAGACAGTACTTCCAGGTGAGGTCACCTGGGAACAGTCACGTCAGTCACCAGTAGGAAGGGGTAAGGTCATAGATGACACAACAATTAATCATGACTATAATATATTCACTAGTATACCACATAAAAGCACAAGAGCCAAAATATAGCCCACAGAAAAACTAGGGCCCAACAAGAATGAGCCAAGGTGGATGACCAGAAACTTAAAACATGGCAGGTAACAAAGAATCCAAATATATAAATAAAACAAAGGGAGGGGAGGAGCAGCTCAGAAATAGGGTATAATGAACTATCTAGGAATGTTAAGAAAAAACGTAAGGAAAGCAAAAAGAGAGACTATGAAATCAAAAAACAGTGAAGAGAATCCAAGGCGAACTTAAGGATTTTTTCCAGGTATATAGGAACAAAGGTCAAGGATGTTGGGCCTTTTAAAAGTCAGGGGAGGGAGAAGTGATAAATGCAGTGCAGAATACAAAGCATTTGAACAGCCATTTTATCAAGCTTTCAAGGAGAGAGGAAAATTCGAGATGAAATTCCAGAGGAGAAACTTGATATCTATGGGAAAGGAAGAAGAGAAATTTAAGAACATCACTATCAGAAAAGAGGATGTTCTTAAGAAGATAAACAAACTAAAGTAGCGCCAAAAATCCCCAGGGCAGGATGAAATTTTCCTCGAGTCTTGGAGAAAGAGTGTAGGAAAAGATTAGCAGACCCTGTAAACTTATTTACATAAAATCATTACATTGACACAGTGAGTTAAAGCCAAGACCTAGAAACAGGCAAATGTAGTACCCAGATTCAAAAAGGGAGAGAGCATCAGGAGCCAAATTACCGGCTCATTAGTTTGCGACAGCAGTAGGGAAATTTCTTGAATTGATTATAGCAGGTAACATCCGATCGCATTCAGAGAAAAGCAAATTAATTCCATGACTCATTACGGAAGTTAACAAGGAAAATCTTTGTTCAACAAATTCAAGGACATTTTGTGGTGAAAGTTCGAGTAGTAGAGATAGCCTATCGAAAACATGATACATGCATTTAGACTTTAGCAAAGCATTTGATGAGTACCGCATCAGAGGCTTCTGGAGAAAAATTTAGGCTCGCGGTATCGAGGAAGTTTTTAAACTGATAAAATCCTTGCTACAACTGATAGAACGGCAAGGTCAAGGAGATGTTAAATCTGAGGGGGCCGGAACCAGTGGGCCCTTAGGGTTGTAAGTACTAGGCCCACTCTTGTTCATAATCTACATAAACGATCTAGATATCGGGACCAGCAGTGACATAAGCAAAGCCAGGATGACACCAAAATAGGCGGCAGATTAATTCAGGCAGGATGCAAATGCATTACAGAAGGATCTAAATAACTGCAGGGGTGGTCTGAAAAAATGGCAAATGTAAAATTCAACACCAGCAAGTGCAGTGTACTTAATATTGAAGCAACAAATACTGTAAAATGTATAAGAAAGCCTAACAATATCAATCAGAGAAGTTGATTTGT